CCAAGAAAGTTGGAATCTATGCACATACCTGGGCTAACCAAAGCACTTGCAGGTTAGTCCTTTAGAGGACAAGTTCTCAGATTTGAGCTCCCTTACTCCCCAAGCAGATAGAGCATGGTGAACTCACAGAAAGGGACTTAGATAAAAGTCAAGAGGCCAGGGCTTTAACCCCAGGTATGCCAGTGACTCAGTTTCCCCCAGTTCAGTATAAAGTGTTGGTGAGGAATGATTTTCATGATCCTGTGAAAGGGTTGTCATGAAGTCAGGGAGCGCTCAGTCACCGAGTCCTCACCGGAGGCTCGAGGGCCACTTACTGGGGTGTCATAAAGGGTGTCACAGAGGGGAAGGTGGTGGAGAGACCTGGAATATCCTGATTATAGTGAGTCTCAACTAGCCTTTACTTTCCAGTTCCATTTCAAATAAAGTCTGTATTATGTCTTCTTGGAAAGATGGATAGGAAAATATTGAAGCTGCATTTGTGAACTATTTCTTTTACTATTCAAAATTGCAGAATCAAGCAGTGCTAGGTTGGAAAGGTTGCTTAAAGACCCCGCATCCTACTGCTCCTGTGAGGCACCCTGTAGGAGCCCTAGAGCTCTGGCGGGAGGGGGCTCCCGGGTCCAAGGGGACCAGAGCTTCTGTGATGCACTCCAGAGCCTCCGGGGGAGCTGGCTCTGGTTGTGTGGACTGCAGACACCTCCAGGGACAGGAGGTGACTCCAGGCAGCCTTCCCATCACTAGGTGGGTCTGATTGTTCATGAATTCTCTCAGGTGAGCAGAAATCTTGACTCCCTGTGGCCATCACCCATGACCCAAGGTCTAACGCTGGTGCTTTCAAACTCCCCTGATGACAAGTATCACTTGGGAGGCTTATTTAAAATTCAACCCAACTCCAACCCATGCAAAGCAGATTCCCAGGCCCTTCTGGAGATTCTGATTCAATGGGACTTGGAAATTTTTTGTTTCAATAGCCATACTTCCTTCCTTCAGGCCTATGAAATCAGTGAGGGAGGCATTTGGATACAAAAACTCATTCCTCTGATGCAAGGAGAAAAATCCATTACTGAAAGTGGCACATATAGGCTGACTTCTTTATTTGATATTTATCGTATGAGCTGGTAGGTGATATGTTGTTTTCATCTGAACTTAAATATGAGATATATATATATATATATATATATATATTTCTTCTAAATGTTTTATTTATTTATTTATTTATTTATTTTTTAAAAGATTTTATTTATTTATTCATGAGAGACAGAGAGAGAGACAGAGGCAGAGGGAGAAGCAGGCTCCCCGCAGAGCGGGGAGCCTGATGCGGGACTCGATCCCAGGACCCTGGGATCATGACCTGAGCCGAAGGCAGACGCTTAACCGACTGAGCCACCCAGGCGTCCCTTTCTTTCTTTCTTTTTTTTTTTTTTTTAATTTATTCATGAGAGAGAGAGAGGCAGAGGCAGAGGGAGAAGCAGGCTCCCGTGGAGCAGGGAGCCTGATGCGGGACTCAATCCCAGGACCCTGGGATCATGACCTGAGCCGAAGGCAGACGCTTAACTGCCTGAGCCACCCAGGCGTCCCTCTTCTAAATGTTTTAAATGCCTCCTTCTCTGTGATTGTGAGAAAGATAAATGAGGCTGTTTTAAGGCAGATAAAATTGAACAAAGGATTGACAAAGAAAATATTAAAATATAAAAATAACCCACTAATATAGTTGTGATTAGTAGTAGCAAAATTGAAGTCAATGTCCAATATTCAGGTTAGTTGATTAACTTTGTTTGTCAGACCTAAGAAGAACTACAAAGATGCCCATCTTTGGTCCTGCAATGCAGCACTTTCATTCCTAGAGTTTTAAAGAAAATCATTCAATAGTAGATAAAGGAGCTTATGCACCAAGATGCTCATCGAAGCATTATTTGTAATTCAGATAAAAGTATGAACAAATCCAATGTCCAACAATAAAATATTAAGCAAATTGAGATATAACCATGAATGAAATATTATATAGCTATTGGAGTGATTAGAAAATCTGTATATCAACATGCATCTGTATGCTGATGACATTCAGTATAGTTTAGCAGAATAAGAATTTGGTCCATTTATACTTTTTTTTGGCCTATGGCTGAGTATTAGAAGAGGACATGGGAAAAGCACACTTCAGTTAAATAATTATTTGCTAAATAAATTTATATTTAAAATAGTGTCATTGGGACGCCTGGCTGACTCAGGCAGTTAAGCGACTGACTCTTGGTTTCAGCTTGGGTCATGCTCTCAGGGTTGTGAGATCTGGTCCCGTGTAGGGCTCCGTGTTTAGCACAGAGTCTGCTTGGGAATCTCTCTCCCTCTGCCCCTTCCCCCATCCTCTCTCTCACTCTCTGTAAAATAAATAAATAAATCTTAAAAAAGGACAGTGCCATTAATATAATATTGTGACAATAAAGCCAATGGACAACTCCATTTAGAAGAAGTAGAGGGTAAGGGCTTGATAAATATCCATTGAGACCAAGGACCCTACCATCTTTGAAGTGTTGGGGGAGGGCCTTTAGGGTCAGCCGGTTCAACTTGCCAAGCTCTGTAAGGATGTTTATTTTAGTCACATTGACAAATGACGCTCTGTACGCTCCTTGACTTCTACAACTGGTAAGCAGCCCAAGAAGTTTTCCTCAAAGTTCGCGTCTACCTTTGGGAGAGATCCAACGTTTGGGGGGGAGGTGGTGCGGGGAGAGGCAGATGCTCAAAAGAGCAACTAGGAAAAGCCAGACTTCCCATCTCAAATTTTGTTTTTTTCAGACGAAAATTCTTTTGTTCGGAACAGATTGGCACCAACGTCTCAAAATTTGCATCGGAGAACAAAGCTTCATGTTTGAGTAACAACAATGAGGATAGCACAGCTTGTGTCTCAAAGGTCCCTCCTGCCCCCACTCCCACCGCTCAGATTCTCTATTTCTGGTCGGCCAGGGGCAGAGAAGCCCAATGAGTCAGATGGGGAATGACCTACTGAGGCGAGGGCCTCTGGAATAAAAGATGAACCCCAGGGCTAGGAGCCCAAGAGAGCTGCTCTGGGGGCTGGTGTAGGGGCCTCGGTTTCCCTCCATTTCTGGGGCAAGGACAATGCTCCTGAGCATTAAATTTACCAGGTTCGATCCTGAATAAATGAGGTAGTACTGATTATTTTGGAATGAGCTGGACTGACGTAGAAAGAGCACATATTTTAGAGTCAGAAAACCTATATGCAGTCTTTGCTGTCTCTTAATTAGCGATAAGATTTTGGGCAATCACATTGCCTTTCTGGGCCTCAGTTTCCTAATTCATGAAATGGGAAAAAAAAAAACCCTGTCTTGTACAACTCACAGTTAGTGTAAAGATACTTTGAATAATAAATTGGAAGTACTTGATAACTGCAAAATATTATGCCTGCTAATTATTTTAATAACGGTTACAGTGACATTGCAATTCTGAATTTTATTTTGGGGTCTTAAGTATTGATTCCCACAGGCTCGTGATTATTTAAGGGCTGATTTATGAGCTGCCATGTATTGAGGTTGTGGTATAAATTAAATTTTTTTTCCATCTGTGCTTGTGCGACTGGGGCTGCAGGTGGGGGTGGTAAGCCAGGCAGTCAAAGTATCTGAGGAAGGAGCCTGCCCTGAGAAAGCCGGACCAGACACCTTAGTCCTTGCTTATTCAAAATCCCTGAGTTATATATAAAGAGGATATGCAAGCCAATGTCATAATGATAGGAAGGCATCTTGAAGTCCCTTGCGAGAGTGATGAATGATGGTGTCCGAGATGGCTCAGATCGGGAGCTGACCATGCAAGGGATTGTCCATTGACCAGTGACACGGAAGCAGAGCCACCCAGCACCAGGGGGGATACACAGTGACCAAAAGATGGGCACCTTCCATCTGAGCCCTCTCCACACTATTTGTACCCCTTTGTGGGGTACGAATAGTCTGAATTTCAAGGTCAGGGACCCTAAACCCCGAGAGATGAGAATCAGCAATTCATTGCCCCTCTTCCCTTTTGTCCCATCCTCCCACCACACAGTAATAGTGATGATGCCTAATGCATGTTTCCAGACATTACTCAAATGATATAATAATTCAATTTTTTTTATTTTGGTAGAAGAACCAAACGACAGATGTGATATATAAGAAGAGTGGAGCTCACCTTTCCCCACTCCTCCCCACCCCTGGAGGAAGTGTGGTATACACTCTTCTCCCCTCTTGATGCATTTACACTTGTGTGGGTATTAATCACGTATCATTTTGCTGCTTGCTTTTTCCACTAAGTAATATATTTTGGAGATCTTCCTGTTGCCATATCTCTAATGCACTCTGCTTTCTGAGCAATGGATATTCTACCATAATTTACTTACCTATTCCCCTCCCTATTAATAGTGAGTTAGCTTTTTAGTTTTTTGCTACTGTACACAATCCCATGATGGGCATTCTTGGATCCATGTACATGAATTTGAACAATGAGTTGTGTGGGGCACACAAACAACTACTTTTTTTTTTTTTTGGAAAGAGCCCTCTGATCTTCATATTCGTTGTTATTGCTGTTCATTCTGTAGAGTGATAATAACACCTATTTCACGGGGTTACCGTGGGGATTAAATGAAAAGGAATATATGAAGACCCAGTTTAGCATTTTTCACAGAAGTGGGTATTTAATAAATGATACCTATTAATATTCTATTTGTATGAAAAGGATTGGCAAGCCATGATTTAGAACATTCTCTTTCCAATTTCCCATCATCGAAATAATCACACTTCTCACATCCTCACTGGCAGATTTCATAGCTAGTGCATTCAGGAAAAGTTATTTATTTGAATAACAAATTCTTTGCCCATTCCTCAAACTGCACATTGGAGCAGGGGTTATGAGAGGTGGGCAGCATGGTATGGACGGCAGAAATGGGGTGATGGTGGTCATAGAGCTAACACGGGTGGGACAATTGCTGTGTTCCAGGCACGACCTCATTCGTCCTCTTCTTACAGATAAGAAAGGAGAAGCCCAGAGAGGCTAGGTAACTTGTCCAAGGCCGCATACCATCAGAGGCAGAGGCCAGATCTGAGTCAGCAGCCTGACGTCAGCATCTTCATTCGGGTTAGTGTTAAAATTGGGTATAGCAGCTTTTCGCTTGCAGCTCACACAACGATGGGAGAATCCCAGGCCTCCAGTGTGTTGCTTTTCATGGTATAGGTCACTTGCTCACAGTATGAGCTTGACCAGTGCTTTTTTGAATGAATGAAGAATCAATGAATAAATGTATAAACAAATGTAGTCTTCCTCTGAAGGCCCCTGTGAACAAGACCATACACTTACAAGAGCGTAAGAGTGTGCTGTGAACAAGACTACAAGGGACCCCAAAGAGAACCATGCCATTCACTTTCAGCCCAGAACTCTATGTAATGATCACTCTTTTTTTTTTTTAAGATTTATTTATTTATTTGAGAGAGCGAGAATGAGAGAGAGAGAGAGTACATGAGAGGGGGGAGGGTTAGAGGGAGAAGCAGGCTCCTTGCTGAGCAGGGAGCCCAATGCAGGACTCGATCCGGGGACTCCAGGATCATGACCTGAGCTGAAGGCAGTCGCTCAACCAACTGAGCCACCAAGGCGCCCATAATGATCACTCTTAGCATCTATTCTTGGCATAGGTTTTCTCCCATTAATTATACTAATACATGTGGCAGGCTGGCTAGCTGCTCACCAGACCTAGACTGTATTTCCCAGCTTCTTCCCCAACAAAGTGTGCTATGACACGGATTCTTGCCAATGGGATAGGACTGGAATGATGGGTACCACTTTCTGGCTGCGGCAGTTGAGAGGTAGGTGTGTGCCTTCTCCCTCCTTCCATTTTCCTCATCTGCTGGCTGCAGGCAGGGCATTTGGAAGCCCCAGAGGGCGAGGACAGAGCCACAATGTAGAAGGGGCCCAGGGCCCCGGAAGACTGCTCGCCAACCAGCAACACCTGTGTTGGATGTTCACATGAGCCACACGACGTTTACTGTGTTAGGCCACTGAAATTTGGGGATTTATTATAGCTCTGAGCATAATTTTACTCAAGACCCTGATTCCTTCTGAATTATCGAATCTCCTCATAGAGTTTTAGGTATACAGGTTGGTTCGTCTTGTTGGTATCTTATGAAAGCATAAATAATTAATTAAAAGCAGAGGCCAAAGAAGGATGCCCCAGAAGTTCCTTCTCTCTGTCTAATGAAGGTCCAGAAATAGTCCTTACAATTTACAAGGCAGTTTTCCCTAATCATCTAACCCTCGTCAGTTAGTGGTGTATTTGTTATTAAACAGAGGAGGAGATCAAAGTCCAGTTAAGGCGTTTCCCTCAGGTCACCCAGATGGCAGCTCAGGGGCAGCATGGGGACTCCAGCCTCCTCTGTCTGTCCGTGCATCCTCTCCTCTTTTGTCACAATGCAGTAATAAATGTGCAGTTCTCCGGGGGTGAGTCCCCTTTCAAAATACGGTGGGAAAGATGGTTCTGACAAGCGCCTTGTCCTTTCCTTCTTTACACCTTTGTCTCTGCCAGGGTTTCTTTGGGATGGCGTGCCCAAAGCTCGTGATTAGAAACAGCTGCAGAAACAAGAGGAAAACATCTTCTAAAAATAAGTAGCACCTTGGAACACAGTGTGCCAGGACTTGTAGGACGTGGATGGGGATGTGCGATCTGGAGAGGCCACAAGGAGGGCACTGGTTCTTACACACAAGGTGACTGTTTCTCTTGTCCGCCGCTCCCGGGAGCCCCCACGAACTGGATCTTGAGACAGGGGCCAGAAAAGCTGGACTCCTCCTTCCACTCGGGAATGCGAAGACTTCCTTCAGGACTTCGGACGGCTTTTAAGGTAGAGCCAAATTAGCCCACGGAGATCATGTTAGTCAATTATATGGTTGGTTCAGAATTATTTAATGATACAGGAAAATGCTCACCAGGAAAAAAAAAATTAGGTCATGGAATAATATGGTGCAAAAGGGTCTAATCAAGAATTTAAAATTTTATACAGCCACACACACATTTGGCAAAAAAGACTGAAAGAGAAGGCACCTAAGTGTAGCAGGAGTTATTTCTGGATGATGAGAGATCAAAGTTGAAATATATTTATTTTTTAAATTCCTTTCTGTCATTTTTAATTTTTGTAAAATAAACATACACTATTTTCATAATCAGAAAAAAATGTTTAAGATAGAAGTAGAGGTTGGTTTTTCCTGAATTGATTTAATTTTAAGGTTTTTGCTCATTTTCAAATTATAGCTTTGTTGGGAGACAAAATTAAATAAGCTACAGAAATTTTGCCAAAAATAACAAATCACTATTAATGTTATAAATTGTATAATAAGTTATCAGATTCAAATTGAAAGCCAGCATAACAGGTTATTCATATAATACTCCACTTTAAATGTTTCCATTTATTTTGAATTGCTTAGCCTGCTTCATAGGGTTCAGATAACATAGAAGCTATTTCATTTTGTCGTTGTTGGGGTTTTGGTTTGGTTTGGTTTACCTAAAAAATTGTACAAACAAACAAATCCAACCCTCCACAGAGAAAATTAAAAAGCAAACCAGATGACCAAACACAGGCAGGTACTTTTGACAGAAAGTTAAGAATCACATTTTCTAAAGTGTTATTTACAAGAAAATAATCAAGTTCTTACTACAGGCAAGTGAACAAAGGCCATAAGTGTATTTTGCTCAATAAAAATATAACGAATGAAATAACAAATGGATGCTAACCCTGACTAGCGAGCGAAGCAGTCACAATACACACAACTGTGAGAAGCCCCAAATTCTGACAAGAATAGTTGGGAAGCTGGTCAACTTCTGACGGCCTTCCTGGAATCTCCCTAGAGATACCCATCGAGAGACATCTCTACCACTGAGACCCTTTCTTTTAGTTGTCTCCACTGGCAAAGTCGGCTGTGCAGATAACTCAACAGAAGCGAAAGCTAAAGGAAGACAAAAACGAATTCCAGTATTTTCTCTGAGTGTAAGGAAAAAAGATCTGAAAAAACCCAATGCTCGACCTAATAGGAATGGAAGGAAATTTTGGCACTCCAACTTAATGGAATACAAGGTAATGATTATAATCACAATTATGAGGACCACATCAAACTGTGAGATAGATTTATTATAAAATACCAAATGTAGAAGAATATGCAATCTTATCTCTGCTCTACTGCCGTGATTTCAGTGTAAAATCATGTGCCTGTGACCGGGGATGGAAAGGAAGAGAGAATGAAAGCAGTTGCATCTTGGTGAGGTCATAAATGACCTTCCTCCTTGCTTAAACATTTAAAAAATATATATTGTTTTGAATGTGTGTTTTATTTTTATTTTATTTCTTTTTTAATTAAAGATTTTATTTGTTTATTTGACACAGAAAGAGAGAGAGAGAGAGAGAGTGAGCATGAGCAGGGGCAGAGGGCAGAGGGAGAAGCAGGATCCCTGCTGAGCAGGGATCCTGATGCAGGGCTCGATCCCAGGACCCTGAGATCGTGACTTGAGCAGAAAGGCAGTCGCTTAACCAACTGGGCCACCCAGATGCCCCTGAATGCGTGTTTTAGTGAAAAGAAAGAAGATTTATATTTCTCCTCATCTCCATAAATAAAGGAAAGTCTTCTAAATGTGAGATCCTGTGCAATTTGAGTTGATTTAATTCTGGTTTAGAAATAAAAAAAAAAGATTAAAAAATGACTGTAATTGGTTAATTAAACAAATATTTGTTGAGCTTCTTATTTGTTTTCTATGGCCTGGGTAAGAAATCACTACAAACTGAGTGGCTTAAAACAACACCTGTGTATTGTTTTATGGTGCTGTAGGTCAAGGGTCAGACATGGGTCTCACTGGGCTAAGATCAAGGTGTTGGCAGAGCTGTGTCCTTCTGGACTCTCCAGGGGAGAATCTGTTTCCTTGCCTTTTCCAGTGTCGAGGGGCTGCCTGCATTTCTCGGCTCGTAGCCCCTTCCTCCATTTTCAAAGCCAACTATGGCAGGTTGAGTCACATTACATCACTCCCACCCTCTCTTCTGCCTCTCTTTCTACTCTTAAGCCTCTCCTTCTACTCTTAAGCACTCAAGTGATTAGACTGGGCACACCAGGATAATCTCCCTATCTCCAGGCCAGCTGATTGGAACCTGAATTGTATCTGAAACCTCAATTCTCTTTTGCCAAGTGAGGTAACCTATGAATTGTTATTCTGCCTGCTGTAAGGTCCTACTTAGTTCGAGAGGAGGTGCTAGCAGATACTGGGGAAGTGGGGACAGGGTCCGAAAATGAGGTTCATGGTTAGGAGTTGAGAGTGGCTGTAGGGGAAGACTCACAATACGGTGTGGGCAGTGATGAGGGTCGTGGTAAATGAGCATGCAGACAGTTGAGAGGGGGGCATCGTTAGCTGGGGTCTTGAGGGAGGTTCGCGATGGACTGGCATTATTAGGCTTGGGACTGGGCTTTGGAGTATAAGTAAGATTTGGGTACAAAAAGAGGGCAAAAAAAGCCAATGGTATTTCAAGTAATCGATATTAAATCAAAGCCAATGAAATAGCCATTTTTGTACAGGAAACATAGTCAAATATTGACTCTCCAAGTCAACTTCATGCATCAAAGCAAAAGGCACAGAGGCAAAAGACAGCAGTTAAGTGTCGTCGGAAAAGCTCGGGCGGCCTCTTCTACCTCCTTTCTCACTAACTTGGTCAGAACTTCCAGTCTGCTGGTTTGTTTTATCAGCTGTCCATACTCTTATTTTTCCTTACACAGCTTCCAATTATGTAGTTCCCTTCCGAGAAAATAGCCTCTTCTCAATTTTTTTTTAAAAAGATTTTATTTATTTATTTGACAGAGAGAGACACAGTGAGAGAGGGAACACAAGCAGGGGGAGTGGGAGAGGGAGAGGGAGAGGCAGGCTTCCCGCTGAGCAGGGAGTCCGATGCAGGGCTCAATCTCAGGACCCCGGGATCATGACCTGAGCCGAAGGCAGACGCTTAACAACTGAACCACCCAGGCGCCCCCTCTTCGCAATTTTTTATGGCTTACAAAGCTTTATGCTTTGAGCAGAACAAGTTCTGCTGTTTTGATTGGACCAGCTGGAGCTGAAGGCTGCCTGACAGAGAAACTCCTACTTGGAGGCTGATCATCCAGCCCCCTCGGATGGTGCCTGCTTAGGAAAACTGAACAGGAGACACCCAAAGAAAGCAGACACTGTAGGGGAGAGGGACTAGGGGGTGGGGGAGGGAGGGAGGCTGAGAGTTGTTCTTGCAGTGTCCTTCCAATATGTTTACATTATCAAAGGTTTCCTGAGTGTGTATCTGTGTCTTGAAGTCAATGAAAATAGTGTTTGGCATGTTTTATGGAGGAATCATGTGGACTCACCAAACCTCTGAGTCTGTTGTGCCTGCAGGTTATTTTGGTTATTAAGATTTCCAAATTGATTTGATTATTTGTGAGCTGGAGACAGTCCTTCTGGGAGCCAAGTGCTTCTTTTTTACACCTTATCACATGTAGCTCTTATTTAATGATTTTCAGATAATTACCCATAGGATTTTCTTCTTCCAAGTCCTGGATAGACTCAGTATCATATCATATCATATCATATCATATCATATCATATCATATCATATCATAATCAATCTATCATATCATATCATATCATAACATGTCATATCACTTTATTGGTCTGGATTCACAAAGGTGAGGATGTTCCTGAACTCCCATGTCTAAAATCCAGAGAACATAGCAACTACTGGATGGTGGTATTGCCATGGATTCAGCCTCAATAATCAGCTCACTATGGCAAAAGTGGAATGATAGGGTTAGAATGAATTACAAGCCTCTGCATTCACATTTGTCGGTTTTTTTTTCCTTTCCAAAAATAGAACGCTGTTAAAATTCAAAGCAGAGGAGGAGTCATGAGGGCCGCTAAGTTACAAGGCAGGCAAACCCTTAAAGAAAGAAAATAGTAGACTAGTTAATAAATTAATTCAGGAAAGAAAAAAAGGGTGACTAAATGAAAGAAGACACCTCCAGATGGTATTATTAGTAATTACTGTGATAAGATGGAATAAAATGGAAGCGGACAGGAAGGATAGAGAAAAGAAATGGTTCACAAAGTGTGTCTCAGAAATTTAGAAACAGGAAGATTTTGGATCAACCCTTTTTTATAATCACAAGCTTCAAGGAATTGTAAAAAGGACATTAGAAACAATAACCAGCAAACTGGAAATTATTACCAGCCAACAGGAAGAAAAATTAGGTTCACAGAAAAGAGGGTAAAGACAGCCAGCACCAAGAAATTCCATAGCAGGGCTTTTTAACACAAGAGAGAGCCTTGAGGATTGGCAGAGGAGGGATGTTCCCCAAGGTATAGGTAAACTTGAAGGAAGTGAAAGAGGAAATAGAAAGAAAACAAAGAAAAATTCTTGTAATACGGTTCCCAAAGAACTATGGTAGAAACAACTCAAGAACATCTGGAAAAAGAAACCCCAGATAATTAGTGGCCAAAAATTCCTGAAGTCCGTGTGGAAAGAAAAGATCTTAACAACATATGGAAGAAGAAAAATGTCATCCTGTACAGCTCAATATAATCAAAATATGCCATAGTTAGCAACAGCCATTCCCGGAGAAAGCAAATGTATGGTTCCTGGTAATACACCAACCCAAATAAGAACCCAGCCCCAGGGCTGGTTTCTAGCCAAAATATGTCGTCGCATTTAAAGAGATTTTCACACATCCAGAATGTCCACAAAAATTGATCAATCTTGGTGCTGAAAGAAAACGTTCAGAGCTCAGAAAAACTTGTTATTCTCTTATTCCAGGTGGGGTTAAGACAAGGACTGTCCTAGGTAGGGTCATCTACCATCCTGGGTTGGCTGGGACCAGAAAGTTTCTAGAGATGTAGGACTTTGCATGCTCAAGCCAAGATGGCCATGAGCAAACGGGGACGGTGGGTTCCCCCAGCACTAGTTTCTTCCAAGTGACAACGCAGGGAAGCTGGTTGGGCTCAAATGGTCTATAAAATTATGATAGAGAATTCTCTAAACTCTTCTAGTACTGCAGTTTCAAATTTGTTGTTTTCTCCTGCCTTCTAGGAAAATGTTCCTAAAATATTCAGCATTTGGTGGTTCATTCACTCATCCAGTTAAATATTGATCGTGTGCTTTTTCATGCCTTGGGCTGGGTGTGTAGTTACAATGACAAACACGCTCCTGCCTTCATGGGGCTCAGAGGCAAAGTGGAGAGCAGGGTATGAGAGAAACAAACACAACTATGCATATAATTGGAAATGTGATAGATGGTCTGAGGGAGAAGAACAGGGTGATATGCTTGAGAATGCCATAGAACATGTAATTTCCACCTGAGAAGTGGAGTTCTAGTTAGAAAAGCCTGTCTGAGGAAGTGGTATGGAAGCAGAGACCTGAAGGATAGGAGAAGAGAGGAGCCAGAGGGGGAACCAGGCTGCACTGCAGGAAATGAGTGTGTGGAGATGGCAGGTAAAATGTTCCAGGCAGAGGCAGAACATGCAAAGGACCTGAGGTAGGAAGGAGCCTGGTGGGTTGAAGGAGTTGAGAGAAGGCTAGCGTCTCTCTTCCCTTAAGGGGAAAGAGAAATGTTTTACCCTTCAGCTGGAAGAGTCAGGAGTACTGGGAGTGATGGTGGTAACAGCGGTCCAGCAGAGTTGGTGGGGCGGGGGGCGGGGGGGAGGGGGGAGAGACACAAGAAACAAAGGCCAAAGATCAGTAGATAGTGACTTTTTTGCCTGAACTCTTCTTATTACATCTAAAGAAATCAATATAACTGCCCTGGGGTCTCTCTGATGAACACACAGTATAAAAAGCTTTGGGACACAGATGGAAGCAGAAGCTCTGAAACAGAGCTGAAAATAAGAAATGACAGAGACTTAGGAGGATGAGTTGTGAAGGATAAAACCCTACTTAATCTGAGATTTGCAAAAAACGAGGAAAAAAAATACAAAGGCCATTTCTAGCTATGCTAAGCACCAGAAGAAGAGGGGTATTAAAATATGAGCAATAGTTTGGCTAGTAGATGGTCTCATGCCAAGAAGACCCAAAAATGCCTAAATACTGCTTCACGGTCACCTTAAGAGGCCCCCAAAGGAGAGATACCTGAGGGACTCTGACATAGGAAAGCAGTGTATTCTTGTGGAGGTTTTTTTTTTTTTTTTTTAAAGCATAAATGAATCCATAACCTGTTAATTACTCAGGATAAACCTGTAGGGAGGATTTTTCTATGCTTCTAAGCTCCATCTTCGGACCTATTGAAGGTTCTAAGTAAAATCCCTGTGAAAATGTTGAAAATGTGTTTTACAGTTTTGAAGTTGAAACAAAAGTGGGAGTCCTGTCTGAAATACTGGATTATAGAAATTCAGAATCACATTGACGGGCTGGGAGGAAGACCTACTACAAGGATGGGATTCAGAGATGATGGAAGGAGCCCGTGCTACAAAGAGGGGCCGGAAGAGGCTTCTCTGTGCAGGAGTCCAGGCTTGGGCTGGCCGGGGGCTGCCCTGGGCTAGAGGGGCAGCCAAGGGATGGGCGCAGAGGCGGTGTGGCCTCTGCCTGGGAGACTTCCTCCGTGCAGTCCTCCAGCAGTGGCTCCTCTCCGCGGGGCTCCTGCGTGC